AAGCTTTTACAGGCTGGGGTCTAGAAGAAAACCGACATCAAAAATTTGAAAAAAAGGACTTTAGATAACGGTAAATTTGAACGGCCATTTTGTTTTTCTAAATTTTAACTATAGTATACCACGCTAGGGGAAGCAAGCCACAGCCTTTATGCGTTTGCAAAATTTCAAAAATGCTTATGGTTTCATTGCAACAAATAGTTAAAAAAGGCCATTTTTAGGGTTTTGGGGGGGTATAACTTCTAGAGGGGGCGAGATAGGTAAAAATTTTGTGCTACGGAAATAAGTTTTTAGTAAAAATCTATGTACGTATTGTAATTTAAGCTTTCTATCTTCAAGGGTGTAGAAGTTTTGTAAACAAAACAAGTGTCCACGGACAGACGGACAGAATTAAACTAATAAGCACTTTTTTCAAAAAAATTTTGGAAAAGTGCTAAAAATTTAAAATTTAGACGGAATATAGCCCGAAGTAAGTCATTCCCATAATATTTTTGAAAAGACTTTTCTTTCTGCTTCGAATAACAAAAATATCTCCATCAATACATGTCTGCTTATTTCAGATATTTTATATGTATTTTAGATTAAAAAATACTTTTTTTAAATATTTCATTCAATTCTTTTTATGTAATTACTATTCTGCACTAAAATTGATTTTTTTTGTGACATTTTGTTAACGTTAACTAATGTGGGTTATTTTTCTTAACATCCTTAAACTACATACTTTTCATTTCATCAATCCAAAATAAACTATAAGGAATCATCACTTAATCAAATTGATTTCTTTTATTGGTTTATATACATAATATATTTTACGTATATACATTATGAGAGTGAGCTTGTCAGGTTTTTACCATGATTTTTTTATCATCATTTATTTTCTTATTCTGTTATTGCTATTAAAGGGAACCACATCACCCTCTTAATTTCTAACATAATGTACGAATATTGTGAATATCAAAAGAATCTCAACAATTCAACAGGTTACCATATATTATTACATTTTACATACATATTATGTATGTACAGATTAATGTACATATATATACCTATAAATACATACGAGTTCACCTAAGTTAAAGTCGAAAAGATGGTTTAACATAACTACACAAAATCATCTAATAGTCACACTTGTTTGTTTTTTTTTCAAGTTCTTGTTGTTTCACGTAGTTCAACGTTTTATTAAAAATACCAAGTGCATATTGGGAGTAATATAATAAATGTAAATATAACAAGTCAATATCTTTAATATGAAAACCAAAAAAAAAAATAAAGGGGGTGATTAAAGAAGAATTTCATGTCACTATGAAATTCATACTACACACTTGGGAATATTTTCATGCCTTTTTGTGCTTTTAACCAATAAATTATCATTCATTTATTTTAATTTGATATAAAAAATAGGAAAAATCAAATACAAATTGTGCAGATATACATATGCACATAGATGGCAATTCCCAAAAAGAAAAAACATTTTTTTTGCAACGATGATGTCTATAAAAATAAAGTACATGTTAAAATATTGCAATAAATATTATTATCATTAATGTTTATAAGGTTAAAATTATATTAAATTAGATATAGGACAGTATACTATTTCAAATCGAATCGAATACTAATATAATGGTTATTAACACACATAATATGCGCATATTCCTGTAGACTAATGACTTTTTACGTTAACAATAATGTATTTATAAACCTTGAGGTGTGTTGCAATTGCTTATATATTATTATAGTTTTTGTTCACCTGCTGTCAAGTGTTTCCTGGAAATGCACTCAAATAGTCTCCTGACGAAATTCGAATATGGTCAAAAATATATCCTTAAAAAACTTTCGATCCTCTAACAAATAGCTTATGTTGTTGTTTACCTTTTTAAATCAATCTGTATACATACCTATAGAAGAAATTGTTATTTACGTACATATTTTCATAAGTAATAGTACATTGTTTTAAAAAAAAAATTTTCACATTTTTAAGGATACCAAGTACTACTTTAAAAACCATTAAAAATAATCACAAAATGAAATACGTAGTTGAACAAATCATTCCATAAACGATTAAATTTCATAACACACTGAATGCCGTTCCGCAAAACAAGGTATGACTCAGATATTTTATGTAAAAAATTTTGTAGACAATTTGCTGCTGAGAAACTTTTATTTAGATAATTTTTCAAAACACACAAAATATTATTATTTTTTTTTTATTACTTTGTTATGCTTATAAAATGGAAGTTAAAAATATCCATTTTCGCATAGAACGTAATATTGGTAAAAAAATCGCTAAAATAACGAGCAAAATCTTTAAAAAAATTAATGGCGACTTTCTGTCTGGTCACAAAGTCTGCCAGCGCTTAACAATTTAAAGGAGACAGATAAAACAAATTTCTCCTTTATAAAAAATGTGACAGAAAGTGGTTGAATTGGCACATACAATATAAAGTGCTTCGGGATAATAAGGCCTAAACGTCGAAAAACAGACAAAAACGAAATCAAATATTCCTCTTTATTAATAAAAAAAAATTTGATGTGGTAATGATGATAACCGGCCGTAATGTGTATTGTATAGTTAAGTGAAAGTGTTACAGAATATTTTAAAAAAGCCTGTTAAATACATCTTCCAATTTTTAGGGCATTAGCAAGCTTATAGTTAACATACCTAGAAAAATGTAAATTTGACTCTTAGTAGAGTTTCGCTTTGTGCTACCCAAATTCCCTGAAATACTCGCCAGTTAGTTTCGGTTAGAACCAGAATTCAAATAACAAATTTCAAGAAATTCCATCAATTCGTTCCGTAGATATGGTGAAAAATGTAAAATCGGCCCGCAGATCAGTTTTCAAGTCCTGATAATTCCAAAAAATTTATATGTTCATTGCTTTAATAAGAAGAACTTAAATATTAAATTTCAACGAAATTGGTTGATTATTTCTCTTTATAAACGCAAAAATGTATATTTGGCAAAAGTTAGGAGGTTTCGCGGACGGTCGAGCGAAGCTTATGTATGAAATTTCAAGCAAATCGGTTGAATAGTTTCTTTAAAATGGTGAAAAATGTGAAACAGGCCCGTTAAAAAGTGCAGTTCTCGAGGCCTGATATATCCCAAAAGTTGATCAATCCGTGCCATGGTCGAAATAAACTTACATATAAAATTTCATCAAAAACGGTTCAGTCGAACTTGAGAAACACGCGTGCACACACAGACAGACACACCGACAGGGTGACAAAAATAGCTTATTTACACTTCCCTACTATGGAGAAGTGCGTTCCCACCGAAAATTCGATATGCAAAATTTGTTGCCATTACATATCCTACCTATTGTTTACACAATGCAGTCGGTAATAATCAGATAATTACGCTTAGTTAGTAATTTATAGTTTAGACACTCGCTCATACATGATTTTCATGCATACATTAATTGAATATCGTATTTGCGCATTTAGTGTTGTTTTTAGAGTAAATGAGAACATAAGTATATTTTTTCTCAATTATCATATTTCATCCTAAAAAATTTAAAGTATTTCTTAAAATTAAACCCATTAAAAATTTTGCTAAGCTAATAACTTTTTATACGAAATCTAGAGTGTGCATTAATATTCTTTAATCACTTAGTTTAAAATTAAAATATCTAAGAATCCCCAGTTTTAAACATAAACGTTAAAATAGAGTTGACCGTGTCAACTCTGTGATAGCCGTACGAATTTGCTATCCTATATGCGAATAAATACGTCATAGCTGACTATGGGATATACTATAACTTTAAGTTACTATATTAATTTGTGCAAAATTTCAGTACTGGGTTTTCAATATTTTCTAAGATATGGCCAAACTAGTATTTAAATTTTATGGCACCTACCAGAAAGAGCCAAGCAATTTCAACAGATTTTATCGCACACATTGGCCGTACTAATATACTCCTTTATGTGAAATAATAATATCACAGCTTTTATAGTTTCCGAGGTATAGCCAAATACTTTTGAAGTTGTATAGCAGCTACCAGAAGGCACAATTTCTTCATAACTCTGTAGTTCAGTTAGACTAGAAAGCGGCAGGTCACTGGTTCGAGTCCAGTTCGAGGGGAAAAATTTTTTAATTTTTCTGACTTTAACTCGTTTCTTTGATTACGTCAACCATCTGCTCTGCAGTTTTATGAAGAAATTTCCACTAAGTTAAGATAACAATTTCATCTTTTATTATTGGCCCTACTAATATACTCGTTTGTGTGAATTTATACTATCACAGCTTTTATAGTATTTGAGATATAGCCAAATAACTTTTGAAGTTCTATGGCAGCTAACAAATAGAGCCAAACAATTTCAACGACTTTTATCACACACATTGGCCGCACTAATAATATCGCTTGCATGAAATTTCAATATCATAAAGATAAAGCCAAATAAATTTTGAATTTGTATGGCAGCTATCCGAACCAGTATGCCGATCATACCCAATTTAAATAGCGTTCTGGCATTTACTCTAACATAATAAATCATTTGTGAAAATTTTCTGAGCTTAACTCAATTGGTTTTTGAGTTATCGCTGCGGCGAACGTACAGACAAAGCTAAATCGACTCAGAATTCGACCCTGATCAAAAATATACACTTGAGTCTATATCTAAGACCATTATTTCTTAGCGCTACAAACGGTAAGGCAAATTTAGTATAGCCTTCGAACGTACGGGTATAAAAAGCAATAAATTATAAGGATAAAAGGTTAACAAAAAATTCTGAAACTTTTTTCAGCGGCAAAGGTCATTTTTAGTTTCATGGGCATATAAACAAAGTAATTGTGTTTGGTCCATAAGCAAAAGATTGCCGAAAAAATTATTCATTATTACCGAAAACATCATTTCTATGATAAGCTTTTTGTGAAAGAAATAATTAATCTTGTTCAATAAATGTTTTTACAATTATTGTATTTTACAGTGTAATACAAAAGAAAAAAACTTTATACAAAAACAAATTTGTGAATGCTCTTTAACCACACTTTTCATTTACTTTCAGTATGAAACCGCAGTTCGAGGCATTTGAAATATCAAAACCAGGTGGATATGAAGAGATGATTGGTAAAGATGGAACTGTTAATGAATATGGTGAGAGAGTTCCAGGTTCGCCAGATTCTTTTGAAGAAGTTGAACGCCCTCCATTACGTAAAATCGATAAATATTGTAAAGCTGAATGTCCATGTTTGCCAGCGAGATTTACTATAGCAGTAATGGCATGTATAGGATTTATGATTTCATTTGGCATGAGATGTAATATGTCGGCGGCTAAATTGAAATTGGAAAAGGGAAATGGGGTAAGTTTAATTTTTGTAATAAAATAATCCAATTAAATAACATGAATAATAATTGAATATTTACAGAAATTGTATATGCCAATTTTGTTTTTGTTGTGTATAGAAAATATTTTACTTTTCTGTTAACAAAAATTTAGGAACATAGAATTATTAATTTTTACTCAGATCTATTACATTAAGTTAAGAATTTGCTTTAAAAAGCAATTGGACATCTTATTAAAAAATAACTTATTAATACAATCTTACATGAAAAATTATATATGTATGTATGTAAGTATATCTGTTGAACAAAACATTCTTTATATACCTATATATTATTATATAGGTACATAAAGAATGTTTATATATACACCGATCATATTATCGATTTTATACTCGTAGTTTGCATTTATTTTAAAAGTTCTTTAAAAATTAATTATAAGTTCTTTACAATAACTTGCTTATTATAGGCCGCAATGCTTATAATAAGTGAAGTTATCACTTTCGCATGGCGTGTTTTTGCTTGAAGCGCCCTTCTGCATAGTGGCGTAAATAAACTATTTTTAACAAGATGTTAGAGTGCCAGTTATCGGGCTGATTATGGACATATTTTTCTCAATTTCGCATGAACCGATTTTGATGCAAATCATTTTCAAGAACATGTTCAACAGCTTTTCTTGACATTTTATGTATCTATAACCTTTGTCTGATGGTATACGAAAATACCTAATTTTTTAAAGTAAATAAAAGAGCATGGCTCATATAGAGAGAAATAATCAACCAATTTTCTTGAAATTTAATATTTAAATCCATAGAATGTGAAAACAATGAACTTCCAGCAGATAATGACAATCCACTTAGAGCCAAATTTAAATTTTTCTTGATATATTAATTGAAACCTTACAAGTGTCCTTAAAGTTTGAAAGCAATATTCAAATGTTATGTTTATAAATTTACAGAACACTTTTTCTAAACTATGCAATATACATTTCGGTTAGTTTTATGCTGACCACATTAGATTTTTCAAAATGTAAGTAACATTGTAGCTATGTTTTATTTCCAACTCGATCTATTTTAAACGAAATCTTTTATAAAAAATAAGGTGAGATTTCAAAAAAATAAGGTAAGATTTCAAAAAAAAGAAATGCTTAAGAATTTTTTTTAATTCTAATTTAATATTAAATTAATAATTTAGTATTTGAAAAATTTTCAATCGCGGAAACCCATACTATTCCACACAAACTTTGCTGAACTAAGAAAAAATATGGTGAATAAGCTTAGATATTAGAACAACCGGTTAAGGCGACTCTGATTTTATTTATTTTTTTTATTAATTTAAGGTATAAGTGGAGGTTTAGCTTTACTTCCTTTATACATAAAATAAAGTTGGATCAAACCAATGGTTTGTAATGTAGCACTTTTCCCTTCAATAAATAAAAATACTGCTTTTAAAAACAATCTGTGTATAGCTACTTTCTACAATTTACACTATTAACATTGCTTTCATTCATATACGAAACTATTTCAAGGATTGCATACATTTCGTGTGAACGATTCATGCAGTCTTTAAACAAAAATAAATTTAAAGAGGTATTATCATAATACTCGATTTTAAAGGTTAATGACGGGAGTTAAGAAAAATAATTATATTTTTTAATGACATGGAATTTACAATTACCTTTGTGCGTTTATAAAAATTTGAAAAAGCTTGTAGTTTTTGAAATACAAGGTGCCAAACCCAAATCTTACAAATTTGAGGAGAAGATAAGCACTTTTTGAACTAATTTTCTAAAAGCACTTTCTTAAAAAATTTTTTGGAAAAGTGATAAAAGACGATTCCTTTTTCAAGTGTGGGACATTTTACCATTAATTAATACGTATTAATTAATGGTAAAATAATAACATAATAATTAATGTACCATTAATTTATATGTATATATTATATGTGTGAATAAAGAGTTTAACGTTACTATTAAGTATAAAAGTTTCCCGTTGGGCACAATAACGGACGCTTTATTCTACTATGAATTATTCAAATAATGCTGGTAATAATACAAGATTAAAAATGAATTTCCAAAATTTTTCTGCTATATAATTGAATTTTAAATGAGAATTTTAGGAAAGAATCGAATTTGTGCCTTGTATTTTTTATTTTAAAAAAATATAAGGTTGTTAGTCTGATTTTTATAAATTCATTATACCCGTACGAACGTATGTTCGAAGGGTATACTAAATTTGCCCCACCGCAAATTGGATATATGTACCCCGACTATGTCCATTTAAATTAGTCAGTTATGGTATATGTATTCGCACATAGGATAACAAATTCTTACGAGTATCACAGAGTTGACAAGGTCAGTTCTATTTTTTCTCTTCTTTTAAAAACTAATTTTTATGAACTCTTTCTATAATTTTTTTTTAAATCGCAGTATTGTGCAATAATATTGAGTTCTTTTGTACTATAATTGGGTTTAACCTCGCTCTATAGTGTACTGAAAAATCAAACAACAGTTTGAAAGATTCTGATTGTGTAAGATGATTCTGTACTGGGAATAATAACTCTGCCAATTGTAAGAATCAAATAAGAAAATAAAAGCAAAACGATGCAAATTCTACATACTTGCATTATTATAAAAAGTTTTATACTTCAAACAAAATTCTTTATATTCTTTATTATAATCGTAAATTATAATGATTCTGACATGCAATTTCTGAGCAAAACTCATTCATCCGAAATTCATTCGTTCTTATTAAATTTGAAATTTCGGAATCCGAACAAATCGAATTCTATATTATTCGGATTTTTATATAAATAGTTCATCTTCTCCTTCTTTAGCACTTTTCCAAAAAATTTTTGAAAAAAAGTGCTTATTAATATATCATACAGAATTTCAGCAGGTGGCTTAAACTTACTTCAAAAAAAACGATTTAACGATGAGTAACAGGAAATTTATGCGTTTCCTTATTATTACCGATCGCATTGCATACTGTAAGAGAAGTTTGCAATGTCACAAAATTTCGGATGTCGAGTTTTCGGTGGAAACGAACTTCTCCATGAGAGAAAATCATAAATAAAATATTTTTGGAGAGACGTCTGTCTGTCTGTCTCTCGGTCAGTCGGTCAGTGTGCGCACACTTGTTTCTTAAGTTCCGCAGAACCGATTTTGATGAAATTTTATATATAAGTTTATTTTGGCTTGCACGGATTGGTCAACTTTTGATATATATAAGGCCTCGGGAACTGGACCTTTTCGCGGATCGATTCTACATTTTTCCGCATATATTTAATAGTTAACCAAATTTTTTAAAATTTAACATTTAAATTCGGGGTTTGGAAAGATTATATGTCGGAAACCGAACTAGTAGCTGATATTACAATTTACGGAAATAATTGATGGAATCTCTTGAAATTTAATCTTTGAGTTCCAGTTGCTTCCAATACTAATTGGCGAACTTTTCAGTGAATTCGGACGGCACAAAGCGAAACTCTACTAAAAGATAAATGTACATTTTTCTAGGTATGGTAACTTAAAACTTACTAACTTTCATAAAATTGGAAAGAAAATGTTTCAACAGCGTTTTTGATATAAATTTTTTTATTATAAGATTTCGTGTTCTATACATTTATATTTTTTTAGACACTTTTCTTTAATTGGACGGCGGCAACTGAAAGCCACGTTGATTCATCATTCTTTTGGGGTTATTTAATAACACAAATTCCAGGAGGTTTTATTGCATCGAAATTTGCTGCTAATAAAATATTTGGTTTAGCAATAGTATCATCAGCAAGTCTTCATTTATTTGTACCATTTGCGATGGAATTACTTCGTGGTCATATTGTTATATGGGTTCGCGTTTTGCAAGGAATCTTCGAGGTAAATATATTTAAAATTGCTTTATGTGCTCTAATATATTATTAATGAAATCAACGAGGCGAAGTAAAACGAAAGAAAAGTTATATAGAAAAGCACAAAATATTTGATTTTATAATCATTAAAAATCTTTCGTATTATTTCAGAAGAAAAACAAAACTAAAAAACAATAAATCAAATACTATGTAATACAAATAATCACATAATGCGTACCTACCTAAATATTACTTAAACTCTAGAAAGGACATTTGAAAAAAATAAATTTAATTCATCTACGTAAAATATTGAATATCTTCTAAAAGGATTGAAAATTGTTATTTTGTAGCGGGTGATTACAATCTCTTCTTTACCGCTTGTTTCGTATTATTTGAAAATAATAAATTCCATATACTTAAATTTCCGTTTTCTTCATAATTTTCATTAAACTTGTTTTCTATGTCTATACGAAAAGATATCAAAAATCACCCAAGCAAAAGAATAGAATAGATAGAAAAAATATAATCCTAAAAAATCCCTTTTTGAAACATTGACTCACAATTATTCTTATTTCTGTATGTTACGGCAAAACTATTCAAAATAAAACCAACGTATTATTGTTTATATAAACCAACGTATATAATATATATTGGTTTCTGTTTGATGCTTTCAGTTAACCTTTTGATCGTCATAGCCATATTGAGTATTATTGCAATTGTTATAAAAAGTATAAAAAACGCTCGAAGGGTGTTTTTGAAAGTGTAGTTTTTAAGGTTAGAACTGCAAAGCTTTTAAAGCTTTATGTACAGATTAAATGTGGATTAAATTTTACAATATTATATAAATATCAATCGCAGAGATATTAAAACTTTAAAAGTTTTCATCAAATCTAGATAAATATTATTAAAACAAAACAACTATGCAGGATTATAGAGAAAAGGCAGATAGACGAGCTTCTATATTGCCTATATGAGCTGCTGTTCTTTATTAGCCATAAGTTGGGCACACTATTTTGTTGCTACTTGAACAAAAGTTCTATACTTCAATGAGTTTATATTTTTTATACAACCCTCTATTCAATTATGTAACTTATTCGTAACATTATTATTATTATTTTGCCATTCATAAAATGTTTCTTACTGTATAACAAATACTTTTTTTTAAATCATGAAAAAAAGAAAAAAGGGAATAATCTTATAATATACACATATGAAAATAAATCTTTTTTATTATAAAATTTTATAACAAAAGTCGGATTTGCTTGGAGTAGGGGTTAGCTAGCAGTTTGAAATGTCAAGGCAAACAAAAGAGTTTTCCTTTTTTTCAGAAAAAAATGAAATTGGAATTAAATCTAACAAAACACAGTAGTAATATTTTGTATTAGATAAGATGACGTTTTGTTATTATTTCTGTAGAGATTGACGTGATGAATATAGAATTTAAATGGCTTCAAACAATTTTAATAGTCTATAAAAACACAATAACAACAAAAAGGAAAAAATTCTCTTTCACAGTTTGATTTGTTTAAAAGATAAAAATTTTCCGATTTTTCATTTAGGTAGCTCATATTTCATATACAAACACTTATAAAAGTAAACATGAACACATATACATATTATATAATTTTAATTCCAAATATTTGTGTTTGAAACTATTGAAATTTTACTTTCAATTCATATTTTTGAAATTAGGGCGTAACATATCCCGCTTGTCATGGTATTTGGAGATTTTGGGCTCCACCATTAGAACGATCTCGATTAGCAACATTAGCATTTAGTGGTTCATATGCCGGTGTTGTTGTTGGTCTTCCACTTTCAGGAATTTTAGCACAAAATTTTACTTACGGTGCACCATTTTATGCATACGGTATTTTTGGTATTACATGGTAAGTTAACCTTTATAAAGAAGATGATACTTTGTTACAGTACTTTTTTTAAGTATTATATTTACGATTTTTATAATAGGTATCTATTTTGGCTTTGGTTATGCTTTGAAAATCCTCGTAAACATCCAACAATTAGTATACCAGAATTAAAATATATTGAAAAATCATTAGGTGAAGTTTCAACACATACAACGATGCCATCACTAAAAACTACACCATGGAATGAAATGATGCGTTCAATGCCAGTTTATGCAATTATCGTAGCAAATTTTTGTCGTTCGTGGAATTTTTATTTATTAGTATTGTATCAGAGCGCATTTTTAAATCATAAGTTCGGTTACAAAGTCGAAGAAGCCGGCTTTGTTGGTTCAATACCACATTTAATAATGACAATTATTGTGCCTTTTGGTGGTATGTTAGCTGATTATTTACGAAAAAATAATATATTAACAACAACAACTGTTAGAAAATTATTTAATTGTGGTGGTTTCGGTATGGAGGGGTTATTCTTTTTAGTAGTAGCACATGCAAAAACACCTGTAAGTAAATTATTTCAAATAAGGATTTCCGATAATAATCAAAAATAATTTGTTTTATTTACAGGCAGGAGCAGTAACAGCTTTAACCTTTGGTGTTGCATTTAGTGGGTTTGCAATTTCTGGTTATAATGTCAATCATTTAGATATCGCACCAAGATACGCTAGTATTTTAATGGGTCTGTCAAATGGCATTGGAACTTTTGCTGGCGTTATTGTACCTTACGCAATTGAAGGTCTTATTCATGCTGATGTAAGAAATGAATTAAAAACAATTTTTCATGTTGCATAAGTTTATTTAAATTTTTCCTCTTTTTTTCTTCGAAAAATGTATAGCCCAAAGGATGCTGGACAACCGTATTCACTATAGCAGCTACAGTTCATTTAATAGGCTGTACGTTTTATGGAGTTTTTGCAAGTGGCGAATTGCAACCATGGGCTGAACCAGTTCACGAAGAAAAACAAATATGGAGTCCAACAACAGCTGGTTTTAAGGAAACTACATTTGTAAGATTTTTCATTAAAGCATACAAAAATATTTTGTTTTTTCATAGAAAAAAGAAAATAAAATCCTTATGATTTTTTCCTTGCAAATTAATTAGTATGACTAACAACACTATGCGTTTTCTATCATAGAACCAAGCTGATGAAACATCACAAATGCAACAACAAGGTGCGATTACTTACGGTGCTACAGGAAATGCAACTGTAAATCCGTTTGGTGGTGCGCCGACTGCACCTCCTGGTGAAAGTGGAACTTTCTTTGAACAACATTATGACCAGCCGCCACAATACACTCAGGAAGGTGTTATCCCACAACAACAACAGCAGCAATATGTAGCACCTTCTAGTAATCCATTTGCTAATACAATCGCCGAAGAGCCAATTCAGCCTCCTCCAACAGGTTCGTATATGCCTGGAACAACGTATGATCAAACTTATTAATTTTGAAGACAAAAAGACAAGTAAATTTTACGAATATATTTTATTATTTAGTTAGAAACTAATGACGCAATATCCTAATGCAATTGCGATTTTACTGATATTAAATTAAAAAAAAAAACTTACATAAATAAGAACCGAACAGTTTAAAAAATACTATAAAACATAAAAAGGAAATATTCGAAAATTACAACAAAAAGAATGTTAGCAAAAGATCAATTTATTTTCTCTAACTAACTACAAAAATTAAAAATATTATTAAATTTTGTTGCAAATATTCTATTTTACATTGATGTTAAATTGTTATACTAATTAATCGCACGTTATTTTAAAACTGAGGCTCGATAACTAATTGATTAAAGAAATAATTTTTATGTTTTTAACAACTTTTATGTATATTAAAAAAACTCTATAATTATTTTTGTTAGAAATTTTTTAAGAATTGCATTATTATTTCTGTTAAAGCACGCGCATAATGTATTTGATATATATACGAGTACAAAGTACTACCATTTTTTTCGTGCAATAAGTCGTGAAATTATTAAAAATCAACTATTTTTATAGTTTCCCTATTAGCAAATCAATTTGTTGATTTAATTTAAAAAATTCTTATTTCTTGAAGAAATATTTTGTTTGAAACTTTTAAATGAATTTTACTTAACTTCTAAAACTTAGTCCAAATACAAAAAACCAAAAATAGAAAAAAATTAAAACTCTTTGAAAAAAGCAACTAAGAATACAAAGAAAAAACATATTCATATAAATATATTTATAAAATATATTTTTTTTAATTAATACGCTTATTTAAATTTTTAAAAGAAAAAGGTTACCATTTTATCTAAAAAAATCGTTATTTATATATTATATGTATATATATGCATACATATTATATCTATATGTATATATTAGATGCATTTAAAAAATTATATATGTGTATGTACATGAATTTATAACAAGTGTCAAATTGATGTAAGATTGTTATATTTACTAATATTAGCGTATATATAAATTGGGATACATTTTGAAAATAATGTCAGAAATTTATTTTTACAAAAACTTTGTATTTAATTTTACTTACAAGTAAAATAGCTTAAATCAAAAGCGATGCACTATAATTTCTTCAATTGATTCACGGTTTTTTTTTTCAAATTTTATTATCAAAATTTTAAAAATCATTTTCGTAAAAACATTAGAGAAGCTTATCTGCAGATGCAGTTAGATAAGTTAAACTTTTATTTGAATTGGAATATTTTTTAATTTAAACATACATAATACATATATATTATACATAAGTATAAGAAAAATTAAAATTTACAATTAAAAGTTTCGAATATCTATGGATTGAATTAATATATTATATATGTAGAGTTTAAAGACATTTTAAATTTTTTTACTTTTTGCATGTGCACATACATACATACATAGGTACCTTATTAATTTAAATTTTTAAAAAATAACCAAAATCCAAAACTTTATGTTCAAGATCCAATTTTAATATGTAAAGTTTTAATTAATAGTTTAAGCTAAATTTGACTGTACAAATAAACTCAAATTCATTTACATATGCACATACATACAGAAATATGTATTCATTTTGATTAAATACGTTATATTTTCAAAAAAAATGCATATTTCCGCAAATATATATATATATATATATATATAGATATACACACATATATATACATATATGAATATATTCATGTTTCAAAAACAAATTGTTAACATAAAAAAGTTATTTAAACAAAATATAGAAAAAAATATAGAGATAAATAATTAAATTTGTTGCAGAAAAATAAATATACATATAATAAAATTCATCATAATTATGAAAATTTAACTAAATAAATATAATAACAATAAATAAATATAACTAGCCATATGTATACATATGCATTCCATTTCATATATAACATATAAAATAAAAACTATATACATACATATGTATGTTTTTTTTATTTATTTTAAATAAGAAAAATTACAAAAAAGAACTAAAATCATTCATCAATATATACTCACCAATCATGGTATTATAATCAATTGAAAAATTACAAGTAAGTATAGCAAAATTAAAATATATTACATATACAATTTATATGTATGGACATTAATGAAGTTACTTCAAAAATCGTGATATAATTACATTTTAATTAACGAATATATTATGAATGATTTTTATTATTTTAATTCATATTCTTAATTATAATGAAAAAATATAAATATTCTTTAAACCAAAAACATAATTTTTAATAAATTCATTTTATTTAAATTTCTGTTTTACAGATATTCTCATTTTACTGATATTAGTTTTATATGTGGTATTATTTTATTTAAATTTTTATTTAATATTTTTTTAAATATAGAATAAATTTTATCACACGGCCAAGTTTGTATTTTAGATTTAACGATTAATTATAAATAATGCACTAAACAATATATTAATAATGTTTCTAGTTAATTTTCTTCTTATATTTTAAAGTCATGAATATGAATTATTTATGTTATTCATGTATAATGTATGTTGTATATATTTTTTAAATTTTAGCCCATCAAATAATATTACCATTATACATACATATTTTTTTTATTTTAGAATATAAATTTTATTTCAACTCCCATAATAGGAAATAATTTTTATAATGGAAAATGTTAAAAATGTTTCAATTTTTATCATGTAATTGACTTTATTTTACACTCATTTATAATTTCACATATACGTATGTAAAATATAGATGTATATACTTACAACATTTTTTACAATAGTTTGAAAACTATATGTAAATATATAAATCATATATATACTCGTATATATTTGTATATATACATATATATAAAATATTCTTTTCGATTTTTAAAAATTAAATATAATAATATAATTTTATTATATTTCTTTTAAAATACATTTTATTCAGAATTGATATTTGTATTGAAAATATTTTAAAAATTGTTTCTATAAGTTAAAAAAATAAAAATTATGATTTATGATCAAACATTTAAAAAAAATTTGCTACGCTATTCAAATTGAATACACTAAACAACATGTTTATAAAAAAGTTTTTGGAGGTATTTTTAAATATACCTCCGAAATCTAAAATATGATAGGGCTAACAGTTTTACAAACGATTTTAATTTCGTTAAATATAAATCGTGTAAAATTTTAAGTCGTATTAGTATTAAAAAGGTTCGTCTGCGCATAACATATATTTTATAAGAAAAATATATTATTTTATATGATAAATTTACTAATATTATTCACTTAAAATAATAAAAAAAATTAAAATACTTTTACTAAAATTTCAATATACCTAAATAACATTTTCTATTATAAGAAATTTAGAAATACACGTTTCATAAATTAAAAATATCTCATTTCATTTAAAATGAAAAAAATTTTTTAATATAATCCAATCGTGTACATGATTGCACAATTTTATGTTGTATATAAGAAATATTCTTCTTATTTATTTATAAATTATTGTCATATTTACAATTATTTTTTTTTTATTTATTTAACTCATTCCCATATAAATTCTGCAAAAACAAAACATTTAATCAAGTTGGAATTGAGAAAAAAAAATAAACTATTGTAAAAATATTGTTTTTTAAATAAAAAATTATTTAAAAAACAGTACTTTCACAAATTTCATGCATATATTCTCGAATAATGTTATTCATAAAGCCAAATCAAATAATGTATTATAATTTTATTTGTATGTGTTCATAGATATGTATTTGCATGTATATAAATAGGTTTGTTTAATTCACAAGTTTATCCACATACATATATGTACAGATTCATATAAAATACATACATATGTATAATTAAAATAAAACTGGACTAAAAATAAAAAAAAAACAATAACGCAAAATCAATGCAGCACAAATAATAAAACAATGAAAAGTATTAACATAAAGTAAAACAATGCATACATAATACAAAAAACATACATAATACAAGTATAAATTTCTTACCCTGCTGAAGCAATTATTTTTTAGATAGAAATAAAAGTAAATATACATTCATATATTATATAAAATATACTTCTGCAAATTCAATATATCCATATAAATACAAAAAAAAAGATTAATAAAAATTATATATATGTACATATGTACCTACTTTATTTGAATTTAAAAGGCACAAGATTAAAAAAAAAAAACAAAAAAGGGAAAACTAGGACAAAATTAAGGTAATTGTATAAAAATATTTAATTAAAAAAATTAACTTGCAATAATATTAATAAATTATATTTTATAAGTTAAATCAATGTAATTAATAACATATAATATAAATAAACATATTATATAATGTAATTTAAATTCTAATATTAGTACATTAAAATACTGCTGACAGTAAAACAATAATAAAAAAAGAAAAATAAAATTTTAGTTATTAAGAAATAGATCAAAAATATTTACTATAATAATAAATTGTAAAAAAATTAAAGAAAAATTAAATATATTGCATAAGAAGCTATAATTTATAACACATATTATATATAAGAAAATTAAAATTAAATTATTAAAATTCAAAAAAAAAAAAAATAAAATTATTATACCACAAATTTTTGTTTTTAATAAAAACATTAGTTTTACTTTTTATTCTCATTTTATATTAAATATTAAAGTTCAAAAAGCAAATGGAAAACAATGTTTTTACCGAAATATTTATTTGAGATCCAAACAATAATTTTATTATATTAAATATTCTGTATAATAAATAAATGTATACATTTTTAATTATTTAAATATTCGAAATTGATATAACATAATAACTATCAAATCAAACCTTAAGTATCACGTAACAAAATGTATAATTATTTTTAAATGCATTTTTATTTTAACTATATACTTATAGTTTTTAATAAAGAGAGTAGCTTAGAATAAGCGAGCGATCCAATTTCATTATTCTCGGATTATACCTACCGATGTATTTAGTTTATATTACTTATTACATATATTGTTATGATAAAAAATTACTTATCATTACTAAATTACGTTTTGTTATATTCCTATACCTATACTAAATTATATTTTTTAATCAAAAACTCAATGAAATTCATTCGTGTGAAACTGCTTATGCTAACATAACAATATATACAGATAACATTTTTTATATTTTGGCGAAATAAAATTAAAATTGTTCGAAATTGAAATACATATTTTTTAAAAATAATATTTTTCTAATTCATTTCGTTCGAAACGCATTATCGTTTAACGTTAATCGTTCCAAAATTGAAATACAAAGTTAATATCCCTTTTTAGATTAAATTATATACAATTTAAGTTTTTAAAATTAATTTATAAATATCTTGATTTTAGCATTTAATTACATATATATTTATATATATATATATATACTACGTATATCATATAAAATTGTTCCTTTTATTTTTAACTAAATTCTTTAAAACTTAATATTTACTTAAGCATATTACATAATTGTAATGTATAAAAACTTATAAAAATGATATAGAAATCGTTAATTATTGTTTTATTAATAAATTTAAATACATATTTATCCATATACAATATAATAAATAACAAAAAATATAAATTAAAACTATGTAAAAAATTTACATGTACATAATATACTAGTAAACATAGTTAGATAACCTACATGTTAATGTATTTTTTTTAAATTATATATTAAGATTATTGTAAATTATATAAATAAATATTAAAAATTATAATTTTAAAAATGTAAGTATTTTAATTTATATTTCTCTTGAAT